CATTCAGAGTAACTTTGGGTCTTGAGAATATTTTCTGACTGAAAACTCAGAGGAGCTCAGGGGTCACAGAAAGGTCAAATGAGGATGCTAACAGGATTAATGAGCAGGTCAATGGGTTCACTGAGAGGTCAAACTTAATTACTTGGGGTCATGAAAAGGTCAGTGATTCACCAAGAGGTCACTCAGAGTAACTTTGGGTCTTGATATTTTCTGACTGAAAATTTAGAGGGTGAGAGCTCAAGGTCCTCGCAAGGGTCAAACAGGACGCCAACCTGGGTCACAAACATGTCCATCTCTCTGAGAAGTCACACCTGATTACTTTGAGTCACATAGTATGAACAATGATATAAAATAAATAGGTGAATAAAAAAAATCACAGAGAAGTTACTGGTTCTCCGATAAACTTAGACCCCAAAAAAAGACTCAGCAGAGGGATCTGGATGGCAGTAGGTAGGGGTCTGCAGGTTATAGACTTTATTTCATGTCCCCTTGTTTACAGCGGGGACTTTCCCCAGCACCTGCACAATAAGTACAGATTCATTTCGCTGCTTTTCTCTATCACGAGGTTTCAACGAGGTTTCCCCGACCTGTGAGTCAAGAATGCAAGGCACAGCTGATCCTCATCACCGTCATCAAATTAGCAGCTAGCAGGCAACACGTGCCAGAAGTCACACTGGGGGCTGTATGTACGAAACCTCCACAGCAACCCTACAAGGAAGGAAACAGTATCACCATTGCACAACTGAGGAAGCTTGGTCATCTCAAGCAGTTAACACAGTGAGGGAGGGCCACAACTGGAATTTGCGCTCAGTCCCGTAGATATTTAAACCCAGCGGGGGCTTCTTGTGCAAATTCAAGTCGGCCACCTGAGCTCTTTTGAGCTCTCGTCTGTCTGTCTGGAACCTTACAGCTTCTGGCACTGTGCCCAGATTTAATAACTAGTGATGGGGGCGGAAGTCTTCTTAACCCCGCTCCTCCATCCTCGGTGTTGGTGCCTGACAATGGACTCTTCGTCCGCTCCCAGTGTGTCTAAGGTTGGGTGAAGTGCGACGCCCTGTGGGCATACAGGGTACTGCAGCCGTGGCCCTCGGGCAGTGGCGGGAACCATGGTGCCCACTTTGAGTCCAAACTTGCCCTGTGGCTCACCGGAAGACCCAAAGGTCATCTTGCCCCAGCTGTCCCAGTGCCAGCTGCACACCCTTGCCCTGGTCACCCACCTAGGCCCAGAAACTGCTGCCTCAATGGGGACTCTAACCCCAGGGCAGGAACCCGCCTGGGTTCTGAGGCTGAGCTCAGAGCAGAGTTGCGGCAGCCCTGGGCCGGATCCTCCAGCAGCCAGGGATGTTCTTGGAAGAGGGGGGTTGGGGGGTAGGAGAGTCGGGGCGCGGGAGGTTGGCGGGCCTGCTCTAACGTGCACACCAACATCTGTACTTCATTCACCAGCCCGTGTCCTCACCCTGCTTCTTCCCTCCTCACTGGTTACCGGTCACACACAAGTCAAACATGAGTTTTTTTTCTAATTTTATTTATAATATAAAAATGTCAACAGTCAGGAGTTTGGACATTTCAGGGCCAGGCACCCGTTTATTTGTTTCAGGTTTTCAAAAGCAATTACCTTTCAACATATTCGCAGTGGGCCCAGTGTTGGGGGTCAGGGCTGGGGAAAGTGGAAGTCACAGGTTGGGGGGGGGCGGGGCCGGGGAATCCACCACACTGTCGGAGGCTCTTCTTGGTCCCAGCGTGGCCACGCAGCCGACAAGCTAAAATGCAAAGGGTATGCAGGCGTGACCGAGAAGCCCACCCGTAGAGGAAGGTGCTCAGAGGGCCAGGGCCTCCTGGAGACCAAGGGCGAGGAGAAACCAGGAGCACTGGGGGCCTGGCCTTCGGGGTCCTGCTGCACAGTGCCTCCTCCCTGCACAGTTGTGAGGAGCAGGGGGGGCCCTTCCCCATGCTGGGTGCTCTCTCTGGGCCTTAGCCTCCCCCTGGAACTTACCTGAGCTAGGCCCCAGTTCCAGGCCTAGGATCCATCCCCTCTGCCCCTCCTCTGGGGGCCCAGACTCAAGATCTTGCTTGGGGGCAAAGCTCCTGGTGTCCTCATTTCCTTCTTGGGGGTCAATCCCCTTGCAGCCCAGCCCCCTCCCCACAGGCACCTTCCCACATCTTACCAACTTGGGGTCCTGCAGGACCCCCAGATTGGCACAGAACAAAAGGCACCACAGTGTAAGTCTCTAGTAAACAGTCAAAAATATGACCCATCTTTTTTTGCCCATATTTTTTTCATTTTCACGTATTTTTTAAAATTAGTGATAAGGGCCCTCCCTGGTGGCGCAGTGGGTTAAAGCACAGCACTAAGAAGCTTAAGCCACTTCCACATGAGTTCGAACACCGCCTGCCAAGGAGGAGATCCACATGGCGCGGCAGACCTCTCCTGACCCGCCCGCTGCTCCCCTCAGCAGTGTACTTGTCGATCAGCCTGTTCTGCTCCCCACTTTGTCTGGTGAATCCTCTCACCCTCCGCATCTCTGGCCTGTACCGCAGTTCTATATGAATAAATAAATCTTAAAAAAAATTAGTGATCAAATCTATTACATTTTTAACCAGTCATTTTGAATACCCATTAAGTATTACCACCACAGCGAACCCACCACCAATCCGCCCACATTCCACCACCACAGACCACTGTGGTGCCTTCCTCCACCCTCCCTCCTTGGGGTCTCAGTGCTATAGTCAGCTATCAAGGGTCAGTTTTTCAGCAACATCCTTGTTTATTTTTTCACAATATAGAATCTCTCCCCTCAGGGGCCCTCACCATAGTTTTCCCACTGACAAAGTGCCACAGTCCTCCCCACCTTCCACCCGCTCTCCTCCCTGGTTCTCTGCTCCTCCCTCCCCCAGCCTCTCTCTTCCTGAGCATCTCAGCCCCTAAGTGATGGTCTCACTTACATGTGGGAGCTAAAGAAAGGAAACAAAGGATCAAAGACAAACCACAAGGCTGGCCAGCTCTTTTTGTTGTGGATGTTGGTTTTTTCCAGAAGCTTTAAATGACATATAGATTCCCTTACCATTAGCTAGCATTATAAGAAAATATCTGCTAAAGTGCAAATAAAATATTTTGTGACACTTTTTACCTTTCACCTGGCTGTGAAAACATCATCACGGTGCATCTCCAGGACATTCTCATCTTCCCAAACAGAACCTGCTTCCCCACGCCCCTCCCACGCCTGGCTTCTGGTCTTCTGCATCCTGCCTGAGAACCCATCCACTCCAGTCACCTCACATAGGTGGAATTATACAGTATCTGTCCTTTTGTAACGGCTTGTTTCTGCTTGGCATAGTATTCCCCAGGGCCATCCCCGCTAGAGCTGTGTCAGAACTTTCTGCAGGCGGGCTGTGAGACTACCATTCTCAGTGCGTTGCTTAGCACCAGCTCCTTCCCCTTCCGCAGTCAGGAAGGAGGCTCAGAGAGGAGCTCTGCATCCACGCAAGTCGCAACCTGCTCCCGCAGGACTGACTTCCCAGTTAGGACAGGGTTCCTTTAGTAGCTAATCACTTCTCTAAATTTTTTAAGCCTGGACACAGATGACCAATTTCCATGGACCACAGACAATCTCCATAGTGTGAGTTCACTGATGTAAAAGAGAACATGGTTACATGTATATACACATGAAGGAGAATATTCTCTTTTGCACTTATAGACACATATATGTTTTATTACATATATTTAAATATAAAATATATAGTCAGTATAAAGTGATTATGACATAATCCCTATACTCCATTGTTAGTGCAGGGTGTATGTTTTGAGCATCCTACTGTGTGCCAGGTACCGAGCTAGGTCCTGGGCTTCGATGATAAGCAAAACTGACACCTGCAGCCTCTATTCTACACGTGGGATATTCATCCATCCAAGAATCACAAGCACAACCGAGCTATTGGAAAGAAAAAAAAAAGCCACAGTTTTATAAAAACATGGTCTAGACGGTGATACAGGAAAGGTTTTCCCAAGGACTTCAACATATAAACATACTTGAAAGATGAGTGGAAGCTGAGGCAGCAGCTTAGGAAAAGGTGGTCTAGGGCTATCTGGAGGAGGCTGGTCTTGGTTGATTCTGCAACATCAGGGATCCCAACTTTAAGTTAGAAAGACTACCCTTGTGTAAAAGGTTGGCTGATGATTCTCTAGAAGGAATGTCAGGACTCAGAAGCTGTTATGCTCACAGCTATTACAGTGTAAGGATGCAAATTAAAACCAACAGAGACAAAAAGAGTAAGGAAGACGAAGTCCAGGCTCAAGCAGGTACTCCTTGTCAGCCCCTCATTGGGTTGTGTAGACAGGTTACTTCTAGAGTGATGTGTGACAACATCCAGGTGTACTGACACCAGGGGGACAGGAGTCCACTGGGGTTGGTCACACGTGCTGACCCGAGTTCTTACTCTCCGGATACCCCAGGGGTTAGACTGACGTGGCATGGTCCAAGGCCACCACCATAAATCACATTGTCAGCATAGACCAGGTGTAGCCAAAGCTGCTGGTTCACAAAGGCCAGGAACTATTAGAACTTAGAGCTCATCTCCCAGGAGACAGTAAAGACCAGTTTCTTTGGAATATGGAAGGTTGAAACACCCCAAGCCTGTTGAGTTTGTCCTTCACTACATAAACCTTAATGGCCATTGTCAGGAGATTTCAGAGAAACATCTGCTAGCAAAGAGGAAATGTGCTTGGATCATACACATCATGTCCAGAATTTTGCTGTCTCATCCTTAAATATTAGCTTCTCTCTGCCTCCAGAACGTTAACTTCTGCTGCCATGTGCCCTTCACACCCTCATCTTGCCTGGAATGGGACCAAGCTGTGGAGGAGAAGCGAGGCAGTCAGTCAGTTATGATCAGATATTTTATCTCCCACTTTGAAGTCACTAGGAAACTGGCTGGCTCTGCACAGATACATTTGGAAATCTGTGGGTTGTTTTCAGGGTTCATTCCAGCATTCGCTATACACAGCATGCAGATGGTGTGTGCAAGATAACCCCCCACTTCATAATCACTGTGAAACTGGGATACTCACTGTCTCACCTCTTCCAGCATATCCGCCGATCTCTCCCAACACTAAATAATGCTTATTTTAGCATTGAGAAAGGTTTATTTATTAAGTTATTAAAGCCTCAGAATTTTACCAACCTGCTTCTCCTTGTAACTTCTTAAAGACAACTAACCAAAGGAACAATTAATTTTCCTTATGACTATTTTAGCTATATTTGAGCAAAAAAAAATGAGTTTTAGAGTAAAAAAGTAATTTCTAGCAATTCTTCTATACTCTTCCTTTCAACACTTTCCCACCATGTATGTTATTATTTACTGTATGAAGCCACTGTGTGGTAAAATAATTTTCAGTAATAAAAATGTTTATTACTTTGTCATTTATTGTATCCTTCTCTTAGGTAAGACTTTCTAGACATTGTGCAATGCCATTCACACAAACAGTTAGTTATAAGATACCTTTTGGTATCTATCAAATCATTTTACTTCTTCGGTATAAAAATGGAGCCATAGGGACCAAAACTTATGAGGTGCAATAATTGTTCTCATCACATTCCTATGAGTTTCCCAATACCTCTAAAATCTCTCCCCATGTCCTTCTGTGGTCTCCCTTCCCATTTCCAGGCAAATATTTATCCCCTCAGCATCATTATGGTTTAATTTGCATTTTTAAAGATTTATTTATTTATGAATACAGAACTGGGGTACAGGCCAGAGGTGCAGGGGTGGTGAGAGGATCCACCAGAGACAGAGTGGGGAGCAGAACAGGTTGATCGACGAAGTACACTGCTTTTGGAAGCAGCGGGTGGGTCAGGAGAGGTCTGCTGCACCATGTGGGTCACCTCCGGGGTGGGGATCGAACTCATGCTGAAGTGGCTTTAGCTTCTTAGTGCTGTGCGTTAACCCGCTGTACCACCAGGGAGGGCCTAGTTTGCATTTTATAGAACTATAGAAATAGAATAAAAATTTACTCAGGTTGGGGGGGTGGGGTGTCTGGCTTCTTGAGAAATCATACCTTCATCGTGTCTTTATCTTCAGGGCTAAGCAAGACCAAACCATCAGTGAGCTAAGAAATATTTCAGCATGCCTACTGTGTGCTAGATTTTGATCTCACTGTTCTAGGAACATGTTAGGTTTTCAACAAATTCTTGGGGAATGGCTCAGTGAATCTAGGTAGCATAAACATTTTTCTACTAAGATGTATTTCATAGCCCATAAAATTAATCATTTTAAAGTGTACAATTCAGTGTGTTTTAGTTGGTTTACTGAGTCATGCAATTATCATCACTATTTAATTCCATAACATTTTTCTCACTCGAAAAGAAACCCACTATTCATTTGCAATCATTTCTAGTTCTCCCACTCCCCAGCCCTAGGAACATTCTTCATCCCAGATGTGTTTACTTTGGGTGTTGTCACCTATTATCCCTTTATGACTGGCCCTTGGCACATGGCAGCATGTTTCCGTGATTCAGTCATCTGTGGAGAGGAGGGAACAGGTTAAGGGACAGGCAGAAGGTGCCCCCGTGACCTCTAACTGTGACCAAGGGTGCTCCCACTTTCCCTTGGGAATCAACGCAAGATGCTCTCTGTACACGCACACCCGTGATAAGCCATTTTA